TTGTTTCCATCAAAGGTGTAAACCAAGTGAAAGCATTCCTAGATACAAGTGCATTTATAAATCCAACTTAAAAAACATTGTCAAGATATTAAAAAGAATATAATTTTAAATAAAACTTGAATTACTTTAGAAATATTTAAAATTTTAATCTTATTCTATTAAACTTCTCAGACATACTAATCTTTTCATCCTTTATATTTAAAATAACAAGATTTTTGGATTCAATTGTGAGATTGATTTGCTTGTTTTTTTCAACTATATAATTTCTTAGCGTATATATTTGACATCACTATTTACTTCTTATACATGCATAGGAATAATAATTCTATGTTTGATATTGATAATACATGCAATTTTTGCTCAAAGAGTGTTATTGAGCTTATAAAGTTCTTTAATAGTTGCATATTTATTTTTACTTCTACTAGGTGTAACATCAATAATTTTTTTTTCTTTAATGTCTATAACAGATAACTTTAATAAATCTACAAGTCAAATTAGAGAAAAGTAATTTTTAACCTCCAATATCAAATAAAAATTTCAGCAAAGAAAAATAGTAAACTCTCTTTAAACAAAGAATCAATGTTAAAAAAACAAAAAATATAAATTTAAAGATAAATAGTCTATAGTCTTTAAAATATAATAATAAAAATTAGAATAATCTATTTATTTCTAAAAAAATAAAAATAACATATTATTATTAGAATATTAAGGATATAAATCACATTATAATTCTAAAAATATTTATATTCCTATAGCATTCAAAGAAAAAAAGTAGATATATCATAAATAGATATAAGATAAAAACTAAAATGACTATTGTCAAGTACAAAGAGATAAGATATTCTTGAGCTAAGGCAAGAATACAAAAACAACATTGTTAAGAGTGAAAAAAATCTTACTCTTATTTCTAAATATACTATCTAATTAAAGAGCTATGTAGCAACATTCTATAAGTTATCTAACATGTGTGTAATTTTTGTAACATTCTACTAGTCTTTTCTCAATTAAAGATTGTTCTTCATATACCACATTTCCTTTTACTTGTAAATCATTTTTTTTGGTCTTTAGAATTGATAAAGCCTTGTGTTTAGAAGTGCTAAATTTTTATCCAATATTATTGTTTTAACTCCTTTCTCTTTTTTTCTTTTTTCTTTTTTTTCTTTCACTTTTTTGAAGAATACATTTAAAAATATAATTTTATTTCTACTTGGATATATTTCCAAATATTTATAATTACTTTTATAATTCAAAAACTTAACATTACGACTTTTAATATTATTTTTGATTTCTAAATAAATTAGCTTATATGCCTTGATACTTCCACAATAATTCAAAAACACACACTTTATACCTTTTGCATTAAGTTTGGACCTCCTAAAATTTTTTGCCTTTGCATATGCAATACATCCCAAGGTCTTCATTTGTTAAACTTAAAATTGTCTACTAATCCAAGCTTATTGTGATGTCATTAATGTAAGATTATTTGTTAGACATATATTTCTTATATAAATAGTATTAACAAGGGTTTCATCTCAAAATTCATAATTAAAATTTTGAATACAAATTAAATTCTTTACTATCTCTATAATAGCATAATTTTCTTTTCTTTAAATATTTTTTTGTAATAAATAGAATTTTATTTTATTTAGTAATTATTTTATTTTTCAAATAAATATCAAATTACTTACACACATTCTCACTTCTATTGTATGTAAGCCTAGTCTTAATCTTAGACTCATTTTTTTTCTTAAAAAGTACCTTGAACTCCTTAAATCTCTACAAGCAGTCATTCTTAGCTTCAAAAATGTAAATCTAATGTTTTTGAGAAACTATCAATTAAAGTAAAGAAATGTCTTATTCCTTCAATACTTTTTGTTTTCCTAAGTCTACATACATTAAAATAGACAACCTCTAATAATTTATTAGAACATATTACAAGACTACTTGAAAAATATGCTCTTTGATATTTTCCTTGTATTCATCTTTTGAATACAAATTGCTTTGCATTTTGGCTAGTTTTGCCAAAATCTTAACTACTTATCATAGATTAAAGCTCTTCTATGCTCTTTACATTTAAATAGCCAAGGCAACAATGTTATACCAAAAAATTATTTTGTTCTATAGTAAATTCAATAAATATGGATAGTAATACTTTATTTACATTTTCATAATTGAAATAATATAAATTCATTTTTTTAGAGCCCTTGGCAACTATGTATGTATTCAATATTTTTACAAAACATCCATTCATACTGAAATGAATCATAAATCTTCCTATTACAAGTCTACTAACTAAAAGTAGATTTTGCTTCATCTTAAATATATGGAAAAAGTTTTTAAATTTGATCTTATTGATTTTTTTGTTCACAACCACCTCCATTATAATAGAGCCAATTTTAATTGCTTTATATATATCAATATCTATTAAGATTAAATTTAATATTGGATTGGCTTTCATACAAAATATTAGACAAAATCTTGCTTTTATAGATGTTCTAAAGAGTCTTTTATGCTTACTTGGCAACTCTTTACTTTCATTTGTAATATCTTAAAGATCTAAAGAAGTCAATAAAAATTCCATTTTGACTTTCTAATAATAGGAATTATCATATCATAACTTTTGAATTACATTGAAGTCTTCATTCTTACTTAAAGCCATATCTAAAGAAAAAATGTATCAAAAAAGAATAAAAATAAGACTTAAAGCTCTCAAAATCAGAATTTTTTTGTTATCACAGAACTTTAAAATGCCTTCTTTGTGAATAAAGTAGTATTTCGTGTTTTAAAACATTCTTAATTTTTTTTGCAAGATTTTTTACAAATTTTAGAAATAATATAAATTATAAAAACCAAATTTGTTACTTAGATTACATCTATATTCTTATATCACCTCTTAGTACCATAAATGGCCTTTTAAATGCTTAAAGCTTTGACTAATTTAAAAAACCATAACTTCAATTTCTTGAAGATCTAACTTAGCAATAGAAAATATCAAAAGTATTTTAAAACATCTCTTTGAGGTACAAATTAAATATCAAACTAAAAAATGCACTCAACGATAAGTGAAAATTTATATTTAGATTTAGATTTGGATATGAAATTTAGAAGATTTAAAATCCTAAAATTAGTAATAATAAGATGATTTATTTTTTATAAGAACAAAAGACTTTAAATAGCTTTAAAAAATATAAGAAGATATATTTTGGTTTATAACTTATTGAAGAAAAGAAAAGTAGGAAGACTCAATACTTAGTATTTGCAAAGTTGCACATCGAGAGAAGTATGTAGTAAGATAACTATTACTTCTAACACTCTTTACTTGTAGAGACATAGATTATATCTAATGTAGATAAACTTCATTTACAATCTTCTTAATCCTACTTTGCTTCATCTAATCAAATCCTAGATTTTTCTTAACTTAGCCGCCACCTATAACCTCAATCAACAATCTAATATTTTTTTCAAAATCTTTTTTGTCTTTTAATTAATATTCTGATCAACAATTCATCAAATTAAAATTCTAAGTGGTGGTAACTAAACAAGGATTTACTAATCTTCAATTTTCTTTGTTAGAATAGAGGTTTACATTGTATTTTAAAAAGTTAAAAAAAAAAAAAGGGCACTTAATTCAGTTTCATTATTCTTCTGGGATTAAACAGATGGTGCTTGCCACATGCACTTTAAAGACACTGGTGAGAGTCCATGGCAAGCTGATTAGACCCTTGATGATCAAGAAACTTTTGGAAATAATAAAGATTCAAAATGATGGACAATTAGGGGACTGTTGGTTGCTGAAATTCATTTTTTGGCTTCCTAAGCGACATCAAATTAGCCAAATTTTTTGCCATTCAAGAACCTGATTCCAATATCAGTCTCAAAACTTACAACCACAAGCCTCTATTTCATGAATTGCAGCATGCACTCATGACTTTGAAACTAGGTCTAGCAGATGGCCCAAACTAATCTAAACTGGTGGGTGTGCAGGAGTGATTTCGATAGAAGAAGTCATGCTCTTGCACTGAAAGCTCAAAAGTAGGAAACGTAATAATCTGCAATGAAGAAGATTGTGTATTCATGCATTGTGGTTCAACTATCAAGTGGCACGTTGTTACGTGGTTTAAAGCGGCAGTAATGAGAGAAGCAACAAAGCAGTGCAATACCAGATGAACCATCGATCCGCAAAAGCTTTTAAGGAGCATAAAGAAATGTCAGTGCTGACTGCTGGGAAGCTGGAGAAAGTGTCTTCTTTCCCTGGGTTTGTTTTTCTCAAGGAACTGTTCAGCTGAAATTCAATCCACCACGGATATTCAGCAGAATTATCAACATGCATATCTGTATTACCACTCTTCCTACTTAGGTTTCCAGTACGTCGTGTGGGGCCTGAAACATAGCACTACAGAGAGCGAAACCAGGCTAGGACCTGACTTTTGAACCTAACGCAGTAAAATATCTCGGAGGTCAATCGATACTTCATTTGCGTGAGCTATGCATCTGTGCTTGCAAGTGTTCGGGAGTTCCTTTTTTGAAAGCCTAATCTGTATCCTAATGACGCGTCCTGGATGAGTTGAAAAGGATTTGTGCATCGCTTTCAGGAAGATATGCACAAATTCATTTTGAGTGACCTTTATTCCTTTCAACCGTGCAGCGGGAAAACAAGACTGAGAGCTGCATCTTTGAAAAAGCGTCCCGAACCTCCATCACCTGGTTGTTTAACCTAAACCACTTCACAGTGTTCTTCACATATACTTTGTCTACGTGCTATGTTCTTGGGATCCACAACACATCGGTGAATTTTGATTCAACAATCTAGTTGCCCTAATTAAGCCCACTGTTGTTGCAGTGTCTTAGTTTTCTAATAAACTATGGTCAGGGGGTAACCGGACATCATCCAGAGTCTCCTTGAGGGAGAGCCTGGCAACATCTTGAACAAAGGTAAGTCAAGTAAATTCTTCTCATGAATTATCTTAAACTTCTGCGTCTACACACCAAGATCCGCACAATTTCTTGAATGCTTCAGATAGTTCGTGTTGATTTTATTTCATGCCATTGGAATGCAAAGAATAAGCACTTGCAACTGAAGTTTCTGTCTGTACGTGCTCATTGAAGTAGAAATGTATGTCTGCACCTGATCTCTGTTTATTGAGCCACTTTTCTGTAGTGGCTATGAAAGCACCGCATGAAATTCTGGGTCAACTTCACGGACTGATCAGTTGTACTTTCTTGTCTCGAACTAATGCCACACTGCAGCTTCTGGCCGGCTATGACTATACTTCATCATCTAAAATGATACCGTCTTCCTTCACTTCAAGCTTCATGTTGAGGAGTGACAGCCCACACACAGCTTTTGCAGCTTCATCGTCCAGAACGGGAAAAGAGGTCTAAGGGTTTCTTTCTCTCCTGTGTGAAAAGTGCTCGAAGGTTCACACAGCAACAGCTACAGTTATGGAGGGTTCTGTCAGGTACACCACTTTCAAAACATGCGCCTCCAGTGAGAAGTGTTCGGAGATCCTACCTGCATAACATGTGAAGCGTGCCTTGTCATGAGGATTGCAATATGTCATGATTCAGCTTCGTCTGTTAACACTCGCCATAGTGTGTGAGAGTAAGTTCACTTGTGACATAATTTTAGGTGAACGCCTTTCATCCCCAATCGTCATAATTTGACGTCTACATGTAATTAGTACGAGCTTCTCCAGATCAAATTCAGCAATGTGAGTAAAACGTTCCATTTACTCGATGCTAAAACCTCAGGGTATAAAATATAACACTAGTACCCTACCTTCCATTCTGTAATTATTTTCTGAGGTGTTTTTATTGCGACTGGAAACACTAGGAGTTGCCACCGAATCTCCTTGTTCAAAAAAATTTACTTGCAGGGGCGTGTACTTAAGGTGGTCCAGGAGTATCACGCCATATGTGCTGCTCCACACCCGTAGACGTAACGTGTAGAGCTTCGATTGCGATCCTTCATCTGCACTCACACGAACCTGGATACATGATTTAGTTTACAACCACTCCTTGTGGTTATACGTACATGTTCCACACGCAATCCCCAAGCTGGTTAGCCTCACGGCCCGCCAGCTTTTGTCTCAGACAAAGGTTCGCACGCGCGATTAAATTCTATTGAACCCGCTCAATAAGCTCTTCGAATCTACTGCAAACAATCAGTGCCAAGCAGATCTTTCTCGTAAAAGGCTGGAACAAACCATCGCCTCGATACGTTTTTTGGGGAACAGGATTCGTCACCTGAACTTTAGAAACCAAGATCCTTAACGAAGCCTTTGGAATGTCAAATCTCTTTATGTACGCAGTTTACGTATTCACAGACCACTATTGGACATTAATGCCGCACAAACGACGGCATCTACAGCTTCCGATTGATCTCGCAGTGGCAAGGATTTCATAGATGAACCGTGCTCTTTATGGACAAGACATGCTTGGAACATGTCCATCCCGCTAATTGACTAATCTCTTTCGCCACAATCGAAGCTGTGCACAGAACAATTGAATCGCAATCACCTCAAGATGGTGCTTCCCCAAAAATGCCAATACCCATGTCGTCACTAGTTCTCATGGTTCTCTTCGTTTTCCTCGCTCCAGACCGTCCAATTTGTCGCCCAAAAATACGTCGATGAACTCCTCCCTCGGCAAGGGCCGTGCCAAGTGCGTGGGACGGTCTTCCCCCGCCATGATCACGCACGACACAGGCTCAACTCCTGCAACAATCTCCTTGGAAACATTGCCTCCGGGATTGGAAGTGGCTTGCGTATCGCGAGCTCCATCTGCAGATCCGGATCCAGTTCCCAGTGTCTCCCTTGCAGTGCCCGGCCAAACGTACATGACGGGGTCGGATCCCGTTTGTTGTGCTCTACTGCGAGCGTTTCGAAGCCGCTCGGTAATCCTACGCCGCTTGTAGTAAATGCAACAGAAAAAGATCACAGTAACGCACCCTAATGCAACCATGGCCGAGATTGTGGAGACGAAGTATAATATCGACGTCGAGTGGTTGGGGGAGCAATTGTCTTTGGAGTTTGATCCATATCTGGCATGGCACCCACTCATCTTATCGACCGGTTCAGGTCACACGTCTAAACTGCACAAAAAGATAACGAGCTCTCGAATCATACTCTTGCACAATTCGATCTCAGGGTGAAATTGAGCAGTTCAAAAAAAAAGAAAAAAAAGAAAAAAAAACTAGACAATCCCACAACATATAACACTGTGAGGAGCTTACCTAGACAGCATTTACAGTCTCCCAGAAACATGGAAGCGATCCAAAATCTGATAACGTGACAATATAAAAAAAAAAAAAAACCGCTACACGTCCACAGAAGTGCTCCTACAGGAAGAAGAAAAAAATAAATAAATAATAAAAAATAAAAAATCTCCAACGATGTTCAAGTCTCAGCAAGAGTGGAGACAGGAACGAAGCTCGAAAAATAGGGACCCACAGTTGAAAGAACAACTCCTGGATTGGCGAAAAAGACGCCTCAATTTTGACCGGCTACAGACTCCACCATCCTTCGGCGATAAGCAATGGAGGAAAACTAACGAAGCGACCCATCAGTGGTCCACTCTTCGAGCTAACAGATAGGCCTGCCCCACACTTGCTCCAGTAACTCCACACCACATCAACAACCTCCTCCAAAACATATAGCAACCGAGAAACCATCCCAACTCCGAAGCCAGAAACCTCCAACACCGTTGCAATTCTATCAAAGCTACCAACAAACGAAGAATTCGAGCTTGAAGCATCCCCACCTGGAAACGAAACTGCACATCTCCGGCACCAGAACACCAAACCGCAACAACATCATCCCAGGAGGCCTTCCGCCTCATGACGACGCCACCGAATCCATCTGCTACGAGAGTGCCCTCCTCTTACTCCTTCTCCTGCCTCCGGACTGGTCTGCTGAGCAGCAGTGTGTGCACACAGCTCAAGCTAAAAGTTGAAAATCGGCGAGGTAGTGATGGAGGAGGAGGTGGATGAGAATGGGGCAAGTCCTGGAATGCGGTGCTGGACCATGGTGTCCGTGGGGGCAGATGGCAGGCAGGCAGGCAGGCAGGCAGGGCCACTCTTGTGATGAATCCATGGCCTGCGAGTCTGTGTGTGCATGGAATTTCGGAGAGCGCGAGGCCGAAGGGTCGGTGCTGTGCACAGCATTTAGAAACCTGGTACCCAAGTCCTTCCGTCCTTCTCTTCCATTCCTTACCCTGAAAGCCTCACTTTTCTCACCGACACGTGGTAAATTATTGAGAAAATCCTGGGGTAGGGAGGCTATGGCTGGCCACGTTGATGGGGTGCCAAGTCCAAGGATCCATTGTGGGTTAATAATTGGGTGCACTGGGTCAATTGCATCTTCTTTGTATTCTTCTGTGTTGGTTTTATCTTTCGGTTGCTGTGTGTCTTTATCATCTCTCACTTCCCATCTCCCTCCCCTTTGAAAAATGTTGTCTTCACTTGTCTGCAGAGTTAAACTGTTCTTTCTGTTCACTTGTCTGTTATTTGTTTACGTAAGCTCTCGTTATAGGGTGTCTTTTTTCACACCCCCCCCCTCTTTATGTTCTTTTTGTAATCAACAACATTTTAATGTCAAATTTTTCGTGTGTGGTTTCAAAAAATGTAAGATATAAATATATTAGATAGATAGATTTTGACATTTGTATTGGAGTTTGAGGGAGTTCAATTTTTGCTTTATATGAGGTAGCACACACAACAAATTTGACATTAAAAATATATCAATGGATTTAAGAGCATTGAAAATTGTCTCCAAATATTCAAATAATTTGGAAAGTTCAAAGATTTTCATGCTTCAAGAAAAGTGCTGATAAAAAGATACATTCTAATCGGATACATTTGTGATAAAATACATTCAATTATTAACATTTCTTCAACATGAGTTATTAGCATCTATTGCTTATGCTTTATTTATTGACATTGAAAATGTATTGCTTGCCATAGCAATACTAAAAATAGAAATAGCTTCCAAGATAGATTTATAAAAAATAAAAAATAAAAAACCATGTACAAATTACAATATAGAATTAGAGCTTTGTCTTTTTTTGATTAAGAGTAGATTATTCATTTTTTTTAATAAGACATAAGCATATTAAAAGTTGCAAATTATCTTCTTTTAAATTAATATTATTTTCCTTATTTTCAAGTTCTTTCTTTTACTTGTCTTGAGTGATATTAGACATTTCTTTTCTTCTAAGTGTTATTATACCAGAGTTTCTTTAAATAAAGAGTGCAATGGTACAAATGCAAAAATAATTGAGGAAGTTAATGCTTATAATGCATCAACTTAATTCACTACTACAAGGAAGAACAAGAATGATAGAAAGTAGAGATATAGAGATGATTAGAGTTGCTTCAGCATTTGTACCAAATCATATCTCTTCTTGTATGGTAGCACACAATTCAAGTGCTAGAAATGAAGAATTACCTTATTTGAGAAGTTTGATGGTACAAGATCAAAGTTTTAAAGATTCATCAATCAAGTACAACTAGCAATTTAACCTTAATCTTAAGGCTATCCAACTCCAAGATCAGAAGTCAGGTTTATTGAAACACTACTTTTTGATTTTACATTATTATGGTTTTTATCTTTTTTTGAATGACGTGATTCAATATTAGATAATTTGCAAGTTTTTTTGATAAAATTTGGATTTATATATGAAAAATATGATGTAATTTCTATTGCAACAAATAAGATCTATATTTTACAATAAAAAAAATAATTTTTTATATTATATGCTTTACAATTTAGACAACTTGTGATTGATATCAAGTAGGATGACACTGCATTCATTAGCCAATTTTTTTTATGGATTATAATATGAGATAAATAAATTGATACTCAATTTAGCTAATCTTCAAATATTGAATCAAGCAATTGATTTTGCTATAAAGTGTGATAATTGATTTTTTGAATTTTGGTTTGAGAATCACATAAGTAGGCCTTAATTATTATAATTCAATAGCAACACAAATATCTTCTCATCATATATCTTTGGAAGTAAAAAATATGTAAATTGATGTGATATGTTTCAAATTTCTTACTAAATAAGAAAAGACTCATTGTTATCAAGAAAGATTGTGTTTATATTGTGGAAACCAAAGTATATTATTCAATATTATTCAAAAAAATAATGTAATTATGAAATAAAAAGTATAACTATCAAAGAAGAAAGTGAATCAAAAAACAAATTTATCCACCTACAATAAGGATCGTGGGATTGAAACCTTGTACAACACCAAATGAAGGTCCTATTCTCTCCTTAGAACCCTCTCTTTATTTTAAAATAGATCTTAGTTTATGAACTAAACATCACAAAACCTCTGCCTTCCTAGATTCTTGAGCCTTAGCTTGTTTTTTATATGAAGAGTTTGTTAAAAGATATAATATGCTACAAAAGAAAGATCACCCTCTGATATTTATACTACACCTATTTTTAATAGTGGAAAGACTTCAAATGAAATTCTTAGCCAATATTAAGATTTCTAAGATGTATTTTGAGAAGAAGAATATAGATGTTCTTTTAGAATATTGCTCCAATGACTATTCAATTGGCCTTCCAGAAAGAAGTCAATTGTCATTTGGACCATTCTACAGTTTATTACAAAATGAGTTAGTTGAACTCAAAGAATATATTGAGGAGAATCTTGCCAAAAATTTCATACATTATTTCAAATCTCTAGCAAAAGCTCTAATTTTATTTGTAAAGAAAAAAGATGAATCATTGTAAATATGTGTTAATTATAAAGGACTTAACAAGATTACCATCAATAATAAGTACTTACTACCTTTGATATCTAGACTTCTTGATTACTTGAATTAAGGTAAGATCTATATAAATATAGACCTATAAAAAAACATATAATTTAATATACATCAAAGAAGGAGATGAATGAAAGACTATATTTTAAACTAGGTACAAACATTTTGAATATAAGGCCATGCCTTTTGGACTTACAAATACACTAATAAATTTTTAGAATCTAATAAATGATATTTTTTGAGAGATTTTAGACGATTTTTATTATTTGTTATCTAAACAACATCCTAATCTATTCTAAAAATATAGAAGAATATGAACTTCATATTCATCATATATTACAAAAACTAAGAGATGCGAGACTTTATGCTAAGATAGAAAAGCTTATATTTTATACTATTCAAGTTGATTTCTTAGCATACATCATTTCAAATGATGGACTTATAATAGATCCTAAAAATATTTAAATTATTATAGATTGGAAGATCTCAAAAATGATAAAAATTGTCCAATATTTTTTTGGGATTTGTTAACTACTATTAGATCTTCATGAAGGACTTCTTTCAAGTTGCAATTTCATTTACATATTTGACTTATAAAGATAAATTTCAATAGAATTAAGAAGTGAAAGCAATATTTGAAGTTTTAAAGAAAGTCTTTGTTTCTACATTAATTTTATATTGCATCCACTTTTTTAAGCCTTCTTTTATAGAAACAGATGCATCAAGCTTTATTTTGAGTAATGTAATATCACAAATAGGAATAAATGATAAACTTCACCCAATAGCTTTTTATTCCAAAAAACTTTCAATGGCCAAAATCAAGTACAAGATCCATAATAAAGAACTTACAATTATGGATTTGTTTTAAGAATGGTGCTATTATGTAAAAGACACTTTTAGTTTAGTCATTGTATACACAAATCATAAGAACTTTGATTTTTTTATGTGAGCATATGTTTTGAATCATTGCCATACTTATTAAGGCATGTCCTTCGCAAGATTAGAATTCAAGATCATCTATTGACTAAAAAAATAACGAGATTCATTAGATGTACTTTTTAGATAATCTTACCTTATATCAAAGAAAGAAGATGCTACTTTTTATTGCTAACAAAAAATTCTCTTGAAGTTAGAGCCTATTCATCTTGAAGCAATGAAATTAATAGTAACTGTTGATTCAACTTCCATTAAGCAAGTTCAATTAAGTATGCCTTTTGATCCTCTTATTTGTAATATTAAAAAAAATCCTTCCAAGTCTCATGATACTTCGAAGTTTGAATTCAATAATAATCTATTACATTTCAAGATGTACTCATATGTTCCAGAAGGTAAAGCTTGATTATGTGTTCTTTAAGCTTGTCACAACTTTTCAACAATATGACATTTTGAATATAATAACACTTTAGAATTAATATCTACGAATTTTTAGTGGTTCCAAATATAAAAGGCAATGAAAGATTTTGTACAATCTTATGATATTTGTTTAAGATCAAAAACTCCTTGTCATCAACCTTATGGACTTCTTCAGCCATTATCTATTTCAAAACAACCATAGTCTTTTCTTTCTATGGATTTTATCACAAATCTTCTATTCTTAGGTTCTAATGATTCTATATTTGTGATAGTAGATTATTTTATCAAGATGGTACATTTTATACCATGTATAATATCTATCATAGATGAAAAAATAGCTAATTTTTTCCTTGACAACATCTATTGTTATTATGGATTATCTAAGAATATTATATTGAATATGAGAATTCAATTTGTATCAAGATTTTGGAGAATGCTTTTCAAGATTCTAAAGATGGACATAAAACTACTTTTGGCTTTTCATCCTCAAATTATTGGACAAATAAAGCATATAAATTAAGTTTTGGAATAATATTTGAGGTATACCATCAACTACCAATAAGATGATTGCATAGTTCTTTTACCATTGGCAAAGTTTGTTTATAATAATATAATATATTTTTCTATGCAAAAAATATATTTTTTTTGTTAATTATGATTATCATTCATAATTTGATGCTTTTGACTTTTTTAAAGTTGATAATCTTGCAATGGAAGATTTAAAAAATTATTTATCTGAGCTATATACAACAATGAAGGCATAACTAAAAGAGGCTCAAGAACAACAAAAGAACAACTTGAATGTCCATTGCAAGCAATAACTCCATTTCATATTGGTGATAAAATATGATTACTTTGTCATAATATTAAAACTTTTTGCTCTTACGACAAGTTGGATTATCATAGACTTGAACCATTTTCTATTTGTAAACAAGTCAATTCAGTCACTTATCAATTATATCTATTAGAGTCTATGAAAATCCATCTTATATTTCACATGTCTCTTTTGGAGCCATACAAGATAGTAAATATCTCAAGAAGAAGACAAAT